AAACGTTACGTAAGAGACGGATGCAGCGATCATCGCAAACGTTGCCATTTTGCTTTAAACATTCTCATTATTTTGACAGCTCCAGCATCCGTCGTCTTCGACTTCTTTTTCCTTGTGGCCATGTTCCAGACTCAAGACGTGGTGGATTTGTTTCGATCTTTTGGAGTAACAATACAGAAATTGCGACCAGAAAACGCACCTCCGGTGCTTAAAAGCCTAGTGAAATTAGCCGCCAATGAAAACTCGACGGACGTCACAATATTCGCCAGCCTGCAGAGCAGTGTGTCGGAAATAAACGGAACTAGTCGAGAAGTAACGACGCTTTCTCGTTTGTTTTTGCTAGCTTTTGCTGTCCCTGTCTTTTTTGACGGAGATGCGGGTCGGATGATTAGATTCCCATGTCACTTTCTTCATTTCAACGGAAGCTTCAGCACCAATTCTCAGACTCCAATGGTCTTCAATTTCAACAAAACTTCCCTCGGCGGTCCTGCGCCGGGAAACCTTTCAACCACGACGTCAAATCCATTATTCGACAACCAAACCAATATTAGCTCAGGTTCACCTCTGTCAACGAACATTACCTGGGATAATGATACAGTCCAAGAAAATTGCAACGTTGCCTTTTTTCTTCAATATCGTCGCCTAACGTCCGCCATTTTCTACAACCACGTTTATGTATTGAAGAACAGCTCGGGCGGCTGTGAGACGTACCCTTACCAACAAGAGATGGATGTGTATTTCGAGCGAATTCCCGAAGACCAGAACGTCACCTCGTGGATTCCAAGACCCGAGGAAGACGACAGCGAGAAACGCATCTTCTGTGGAACAAACCGCGCGTTTCATGACCCCGACTTGCAACTTGAGAGGTCGCTGTGCGCCAATATGGCCACGGCGAACAAGACCCGGTCTGTCAGCGACGAGTTTAATTTTTGGGAGATCCGTTCAAGAGGCAAAAACGTGACGTATTACCAGTGTGATGACGTCAACGACTGTACTATTATTACTACTTTTATATCGTCAGGTGGCGTTGTGCTAAACAATCAAATCGGATACCCCATGTTAGTGGCCCTGCTCGGAGTGTTAGGTCACGTGACCATGATCTGATGTCCTTCCGTTTGCAGAAATGGGTACGCAATATTAACAATATTAACAGCGCTTTTCACGGATTTTATTTTGAGAAAGTACAAAGTGCATGTGTACAGTGAAAGCCTGGAATATTATTAATTTTAAAAGCTTTGACTGCTTGAATCCAGATTAAATTTGAAGTTAACTACTTAAATAATCGCTTTACAGAGCAGTAGGTAATCATTTTTGTTAGTTATATAAAGGAATCAATATGGAGGGGGCTCGATAATTTATTATGACCTGTATTTAGACAAAATAGTTTTCTCTGTTCCTGTTCTGTGAAATGCTCCGCATATTAAGAAAAATATTGGTGTTTATAAATATAAGTCTTTCAATGATTACGGTATGTAGGTCAATGCTCTGCTACCTACGTTTCCAATTTACACGGTGATCGATTGCCTAGTCTTTATTTAACAGTAAAATTTATACTATGGGCACCCTCGTAGCAATATACATAATTGTGGTAGGGGTGACACTTTTTTTGCTAGAGGAGTAAATAAAAGATTCACCATGTTCCAGCTACATCTACAGTGTATTAT